CAAATGTGCCCACGGCCCCCAAAGGTTTGGATACCCCATCACTTCATGTGCACAAAATCACATAGGGGTGTCAGTATATGGAAACATCACAGCTGCAGACACCCAGATTGTTGACATCACATGATGCGCCTATCTGTGGGAAAGAAGAATTTCCCAGGAAGTTCACAGGCTGGAAAAGTCTCTGTGAAGAGTGTAATTTGAAACCTTCTGTGTGCGCATGTACAGGAAGTTTGTCAGACTTGCTAGAAGAACTGAACTGAAAGGACGTGTTTTTCTGTAGTGCTGTAATGTCAGAAATAAACATCATGTAAATAGATTTCTGACTGATTTTCTTTCCCCTGTGGAAGCAGGAGGAGGGGGTGTGCATTTCCCCACGCTTGGGAAAATGTCGCCTATCAAAATCTCCCTGGTCTGTCTGGATGTCAGCCAGAGGAGGTTACCGGTATGCAAGCTCCGAGGAGAGTGAGAGGGGCCAGCCTCTGTGGAGGGGGCATGCAAACCAACAAGGGGCTTGATGTGAGCTGGGAACCCTGGCGCAGAGGGTGTGAGACATGTTGAAATAAGAGTAGCAAAATCTCAGCTAAGAAGCTCAAATCATATATATGAATGACACCCTTCTTTGGAAATTAAGCCCATGTCCAAACTTTAACATTCAAAAACTTTACTTGCAGAAACTTATAGAAGAATTAAAACATATTTATGGCCACATGCTACTCCAAGTCTTACAGTCTCTTCTTCTAACTTCCAAACAACTGTATTTTCCTCTCTTTCCAGAGCTCAGCACTCAGCCTTCTGTATCTCATTTAGGCCATGCCTTGCAGCTCCTATGAGAGATTTCCACTTTTACCTTCTCCTGCAGTTTTGCTGTCTTTCTTTCAAGCAGAGAAGAAACACTCCAACACTCTGTTCAACTTAGCAGTGTTCACAGTGGATCTTAAAACACAGTCATCTTGCTTCACATAAAATGAAGTCTCTCCTTCGCTAGATATCTCCCCTGTGACCAATGTTAGCCAATCATATGAGAACTACTAGAGAACTCCCTAGAATTCAGTTACCAACTAATCAAATGTAAACACATAGTGATGCATACAAGCATTTACAGTTTCAGTGACTTAACATGGCAGGGACAATGTTCCTCTGTGTCAGCAAGTAAGTAGTTGGTGGTGCGGGGAGGGGGGCAAATTTTTGGCTGCTCTGAACAAAATACATTACAGGCCTGGTCTGCTTTTCTGTGGCAGCACCCTCTCTTCAATGTGGAAACAGAAAGTGTGACCACAGCAAACAAGGAGCTCATCAGAATGAAAGCAACCTGGGAGTATAAATCATTTGCCCAGTGCAAATAACTGTCCTCAGGTGTTTACACAGCCAGATCACTGGGGCTGTTCATTCATGAATACATGGGCTGGCTGTGTAAGCTATCTAGGAAGCAGGGCAGTGTGGCTGAGAGGAGGCCAGGCCGATGTTGGGTTCAAGCAGGGCTTTCTTTTTCTAGAAAAAGAGGTGCCAGAACTTGCTGAGCTTTTTTTAGGGAGAGGACTTCTCTGCTTCGACCACTTTCCCCAGCACCGTGGAAAGAGGTTCCAGTGAGTTCCAGCTTAGAAAAAGCCCTGGGTTCAAGACTGACTCCTTTTTTACATGTGGAGGAAAGTTCTGGTTTTCAAAAGAAACCAGCACCAGACATTTCCAGTGGTTAGTTCCCAATCCCAACATTCAGCTCTTACAGTCAAAGGATTACTAGTAATGCCCTCAAAAGGTGAGCATCTGGCTGCTGTTTCAGGGTGCCAGGTTGGTATAGAACATACAGTATATGGCGGGGGTGGGGAATCTCTAGCACCAGGCCAAGCCATGCCCACCTGCCAATCACTTGGCATGGTATATGACACCATGCTTGGGCAGGTAAAAGGGGCTTCTGAAGCACCAACAGATCACCTGATGGTTAGGACTTCAAAGTGCAGCACAGGGGGCCCCAGGGCTGCACTTTGAAGCCCCAACCCTCAACTTTCCATGCAGAATGCCCCAGGTTTAATACATGGCATGGCATCCCCAGTGAAAAGGTTCTCATGGAACAGGGCTTGGAAAGACGACACCTGAATTTCTGGAGAGTTGTCATCGGGATTGACAGGTGGACCAATGCTCTAAACTCAGTATAGAGCAGTTTCACATGCCATTCACCTAGAGAAGACCTTGGTGTAGATTAATTTCCACCCAGGTTTTTAAAATCATAATTCCAATGGTGTGTTGGTAAATCATGAAGCTTAGGAACTCATCATGACAGCTCATCCATGTCCCCAAGGAGAGTCCAAAGATACAGGCAGCTGTGTTGATCCACTATATATTAATACCAAAATCCAGAAGTACATAGCATAAGGCCCATTTTATTATTATTAGCTGTCAAGTGTAGGAACCAGACCATTGATCCATCTAGTTCAGTATGATGACTATCAGCAGCTCTCCAGAGAACGTTCCCAGCCCCACCTGGAGATATCTGTAGGAAACTTCTATTCGTATCCCAGAGTTACAATTCCCAGAGTGCTTTAAAAATCACTGTCTTTAGGCTGGAAATTGTAGCTCTGAGGGGAAACAGGGGTGTCTCCTACCAACTCTCAGCACCTGTAACCAATTACACCTCCCATAATTCTTTGGGGGAAGCCGCAACTGTTTGAAGTGGCATCATAGTGCTTTAAATGTCTGGTGTGAATGTCACTATCACTGAGATCCAATTTGCATAGTGAGCACAAGGGGTATTGCATTCCCATCTACACATCTCTTCCTCCACCCGCCTGTGGCATTTGATACAAACTGTTGAAGACAGCAACTGTGATCCAACAGATAATGTACTAGGCTTGGACCCAGGAGTCTGGATTTACAATCCTGCTCCATCCAATAACCCATTGGATAGCTTTGGGCAAACCATTATCTCCTGGTTCCTTCACAACCCTCTTCCATGCCCTCTGGTAAGACGGGACCACTAATGCCTCTCTTCACGAGGCTTTGGGGATTTTAACGCTCTTTTGAGCACTAAAAATAAAATAGAAATTATTAATAATAAATAAGTGAAATGACAGCTACATTTGGTCTTCTTTTTCCTGGGAAGGAGGGGTTTTAAGAAAGCATACTTAATGCATCGTCAAGCCACATTAAGGCCAGAACCATGTAAGGCCAGGAGTCTAGTATCCAACTTCCCAAACTAACTGAACCCCACAATATTGTGGTTTTGTTTTACAACACTTTTAAATGGGTGACAAGAATGAGAGTTTGGTTTTAAAAATGGTGGTGGTTGGGAGCACTCTGGGCATGCTTCAAACTACCCCCATAGGCAGCGGCCAGAAGGGAGCTGTGACACAGCGGAGGAGGAGCACGAAGCATCATAGCCAAGCTGTATATAACTTTTTTCCCAGCACAGCAGCAGCGATGCCATTTGCTGGAGTGTCAGGACAATTGACGAATCCTACTTGCTCTGGCTCCAATACTTTGGCCACCTCATGAGAAGAGAAGACTCCCTGGAAAAGACCCTGATGTTGGGAAAGATGGAGGGCACAAGGAGAAGGGGACGACAGGGGACGAGATGGTTGGATAGTGTTCTCGAAGCTACAAACATGAGTTTTGACCAAACTGCGGGAGGCAGTGGAAGACAGGAGTGCCTGGCGTGCTCTGGTCCATGGGGTCATGAGGAGTCGGACATGACTAAATGACTAAACAACAACAACACTTGCTCTGGCAAAGTGGGGATAATGAGTCTTTCAAGTTTGGTTAGAACAGAACTTGAAAGACTCATTATCCCTGATGTGAGGGATTAGCACAGAAGAAGTCAGAGAATTGAGAAAATATCCAAGCCCTTTTATTTGACGGAGTTCCTACTTCAGATAGCAGTTCAAGTTCTTTACAAGATGTTTTGCAGTTCTGGTTAAAAGATCAAGGTTGTGTTTCAGCTAATGGAAGGTATCTCACTTAAGTTTTACAGAAGGAACCTGGGCAATCAAAAGGGAGCACCGCTGAGTTCAAGGGAGCTCATTGCCAGGAAACAATGAATAGGATTGCAGCCATACTGGTCCCAATAGCCTATGTGTTATCCTATGTGCTGCTTCTCTTTGGTATGTGTGTAATGGTTTGACACAGCTCCTTGGTGGCTCTCCTTGAGGGCATGGCAAAGGCTCTCAGGTTAAGCTCCTGTGCTTCAGAATCTACCTCTTCACCACTGGAGGGGAGCCAAGAGCTATGCCCAGGAGCTAGAGCTAATTTATGGTCCCGTACAGTTATCTCAATTTTGTTTAATTCATGTTTACATCGGGAAGAAAAAGCAAATTAAGAAATGAAGCGTGCACACACACACACACACACACACACACACAATCTTCAGGGGAAGCCAGAACATGCACTGCTCCAGCAAAACCAGCCTGGGTTACAGCAAAGTCTGTTCCTTGCTGGGAGGCTCAATCAGCGACCTTAAACCAGCCTGCAGCTTAAACTCATCCACCTGGAATGTGTCAAAGTGCTGGGTCAACCGTTCCCCCCCTCAAATAAGGCCTTTGAGAAACAATTCCACAGTTTGCACGTACCAGTATATTGTGCACAGGAACAAAGGAATCTAAGGACATAAGAATAGCCTGCTGGGTCAGGCCAACAGTCCGTCCAGTCCAACCTCCTGTTCTCACAGTGGCCAACCAGATGCCTATGGGAAACACACAAGCAGGATTCAAGCACAAGAGCATCTCTCCCCTCCTGTGCTGTAAAGTGGAGGTCAGAGGCAGAAGCGTAGAAACGAAAACCAGACAGGAGTCAAGATCCAAGACAGCAACCAGCAAAAGACAGCAGATGTGTAGGGAGGACTCTTGCAGCGGAGACAAGTTACTCTGGCTGAAGGACAAGCTCTGATGAGGCCTGGGCAACCGGGATGGGCCTGTGCCAACATGCAGGGAGGGCAATGCAGGAAGGTGCTTTTTGTTGAGCTCAGTACTGTCTGCACTGAATGGCAGCAGCTCCTCAGGGGTCTTCCCCAGCCCTGCCTGGAGGGCCAGAGACTGAACCTGGGACCTCCTGCATGCAAAGCAGGTGCTGTGCCCTCTGAGCTATGGCCTTGCTAGATGCAGCCCTCAGGCCAAAAGCTGAGTCTCACAGGTTTCCTATAGAAACCAAGCTGGTGGCACAGGACCTAAGGAACTGGAGCCTGCTTGCTGAGAGTCCCGGTTTGAAACATCTTCCCACTGGTGGAAGCATCCACAACTCAGGCTGGCAGCTGCCCTGAGAGAGCAAGACCTCAGGGAAGCATGTGCTGTCGTTGTGCGATCGATCGATCAGTCGATAGATGATAGATATTTGCATCAGACACCAGTCAGTGCAGTTTGTGTACAAAAGCACAAACAAATAGTAAACAACTAAACAGATAAAATTGCCAAACTAAGTTAAAATATGTACAATTTAAAGCACAAAGACCACTGTGTGCTATATACGTATGAGCTTTGGGTGGTGTATGTGTGTGTGGTATGCCTATTATTTGTTAGATGCCTTGAGAATCATTTCATTAAAAGAAGGAATATAAACCTTCAAAGTTGTGTGTGTAAACTGGCCTTCTGACCAACAAATACTTGCTTACCCTGTGGTAATTTATTTTGCTATAGAGCTTGATTTATCTGAGGAGAAATTGTTTTGTTGTACCCCAGGGAGCTCAGGACAGAGGCGATTTCCTCTCACCGCATAAGAAAAGGAGAGTGGAAATAAAACAGTGTTTTATTACAACAGCACCAAAGCAACTGTTGGGAGAGAGCCTCAGTGGGCACGTAGACATTTATTGGAGCAAATGGAGGCAATTGAGTTGAGAAAGAGCAGCATTCTTGGGTGCATTAAGTCAAATGATGTGGTATAAAGGAGAAAATATTTAAAAATAATGGTAGTTATTTTGTCAGATTATGATTCTTTTAAACCCTTCCTATTTAGGCAACATGAATGCACAAGGAGATGATCTGCAAGTTAAAGCCTAGAGTGGCCAAAAAAGGAAGAGGAAATGTGTCACCAAAAAGATTGGACAGTGAGAAAGCGGGAGTGACAATCAGCAAAGTCTGGAGATCAATGGGTGCGAAAATGGTGAGAGGACCAACAGGCAGCCCCCCAGAAGAGGAAGGCGAAAGCAAGGAGACCCCGAGACTACGTTGTACAGATCTCCTAAGTCCTGAATGGCAGCAGGAAAAGGAAGAAGAAGAGGGGTCTCTACAAGAGCAGCCTGGCATCAATAATTCACCTGCAGATGCTGCGGAGGGGCTGTGGCCTCCGTCTGGTGACAACAAAGAAGAACACCTGGAGCCCAGAGTGAATGAGGCCAGTGTGAAAAAGAATATTAAGAAGACCCCCTCATGCCTTGGTCTCCGTTCCCTCATCTCCAGGGACCAGAAGGTCTTCAAAAAAGCACCACTACCTGAACCCAGCACCAGCAGGAGCAGGGCGCAATCAAAGAGGAGGCTGCTGGGCATGAGGCTGAGGCACTGGATACGCCGGCACAGCGGCTGCGTGTGTCACGGCTAAAAATTGGGCACTCCCCGTAAAAAGAGTGCTTGTGTTTCCTTAGGTTCCCTTAGATTCCCTCCTAGGACAATCCTTTTAGCTATGAATATTTTCCGGCGGGGGGGGGGGACAGAAATACAGCCTGCTGTGGGTCGGGGCAGATGCTGCTAAGCCACGCCCCCAGGCTCGCGGTCTCCTAAGAAGCCTTCCCTCCTCACTGCTCCAACCTGAACTCTCCTCATCCTGCGCGTGGGAGATTCCTGCTCTCTTCCCTTATGGTGCTTTAACTAGACTTGGGACTGGACAGCTCTTCAAGCTGACAACTGTTTCAAAGAGAGGACTGACAGCTCTTCAGTTAGGGGACTGTGCACTGCAAAGTAGGGGACACACCCTAATAAAACAGTAATATGGTTTCCAGACAGGGATGTCTACTTGAATAAAATACTGAGGCGGGGCAGGCAAGCCCAACCTCACATAACTGATCACAAGACACACAACTGAATGCCATGTCCATCAATTTTGGGCCCCTGGCCCCCTCAAATATGTTAAGGGATCTTGGCCCCTAGGTGTTGGCTCTTATGTTTCCAGACCCTTTATAAAATTGTTTGCCCTCCTCTGCACACGTTTCAGCTTTTCAATATCCTTCTTAAATCGTGGCAGAACTGGATACAGGACTCCAGGTGGGGTTTGACCAAAGCAGAATAGAGTGGGACTATTATTTTCCTTGATCTGGATACTAGACTTTTTTCGAAGCACCCTCCCTTGTTTTTTTGCTGCTGCATCACACTGTTGGCTTATGTTAGGCTTGTAGTCTACAAGACCCCTAGATTCTTCTCACATGTACTGCTATCAAGCCAGGTATTCCCCATCCTGTATTTCTGAATCTGATTATACCTGCCTATGTGCTGAACCTACTGTCCCTACTGAAATTCCTTTTGTTAATTTTGCCTAGTAGAACTGCAGCTACCCTGAGTTGCAGCCAACATGACCAGAGGTCAGGGACTGATGGAAATTGGAGCAACCTCTTCAAACACACAGATCCTCCTCCCTGCATGGAGAGTATTTGCATCACAGCGAAGACTGTCTGAGAGTTTTTCTTGCCAATGATGCAGTGGTGGTGCTTCCCAAGTCAGTGGTGAAGCACATTGTCTGGTTGCTGTGAGGGGAGCTTTGCTTCCCCGCCATGCAATTGCCGTAGCTGCTCCAAAGAGAGGCACAGACGTTATTTTTCCACAGCTGTTAATAAATAAGATGTTAACAATAAAGAATAAGATGAAATGAAGTCAGGAAGCTCTTTTCCAAAAAACAAGTGAGCAAATGGAGGCAGCTCCTTTTCCCTGCCGTTCCATGATTAATAGATTCTGTGATTCATCATCATAATAGGCTGGTGATCAAAATTGCCCACCTCTGGCAGACACACCATCTAATAAACATTCGCTGCAAATTTCACTCTGATATCCGTTTCCTGCTGTGATAATAAAGAGTGACTTGCTTGGAAAACAGCATCCTTTTACATTCTGGATGCCACATATATCAGCCTCCCATGGGGGCTCCTGCAGCCGTCAATGTGGTGAAACAGCGAGGCTTGGAAGCGGAGAGAGCAGAACGGCTAGGATTCCAGAACAAAGAACTGCCAGGCAGCGGGGGCACTGCACGACCCCACTGGGAAATAGGAGGCAAGGACAAAGGAAAGAAGACCACTGGAAGGGGAGAAGTGTTTGCCGTCCACTTTGTTTATCTTTAGCTCCCTGCCTCAGCTGTGGCAATTGCCTACCCAAAGTACATGCGCATGGGCTGCTTAGATTCCGGCTCTTGGAACATTTGCTGCATCAGATGCTAATCTCCATTTTAGCGGTGTGATCTTCTGCCATTGCCTGGCTTCTCATCAGGCTTTCCTTTTCTTAGTTATTCCCTCATGCAGTTGTATGCACTTGGCCGAAGCACCTATTTAAGCTCCTAAGATCATTGGCTTCATATCAGAAAGCAATTTACGATGTTCTTCGGCAAAATAGGGAGCTCGCTGGACCCTGCAGAACAGATGGCAGGGAGTGTTTCTCCAGGATAGCCCTGAATTTCTAATATTGCCTACGGGTCTCACTCTGTTAGGATCTCAGTGATTCTGCAGACCAAGAATTGCAGGTCAGTAGTTCACAATAGTGCCTTAATTGTTGGTTGATCTCTCTCTCTCTCTCTCTCCCTCCCCCCCCCCCCACAAAACATTGATGTGATTTAAACAACTGTTGCTGAAATTATGATGACTCCAATAAACTGTTTCTACTCAGAAATGGCAGTGCAAAAAAAATCTCCCTGCGCCTGTCCAATCAATGCTGCACAGCTCTCCTGATTTCCTATCAGCAGAATATGTCATGACTTAACAAGCTTCATTGTGTATAGCAGTGGTGGTGAACATCTGAGCCCTGGGCCAAAATAATCCTGGCAATTTGGTCCACAAGACTGCTTTCCACAAAACCTTGTCCACAATGTGGGACAGGTAGGGGCACGGCTGGGCCAGCTGCACGGCCACTGAGCTACAGCCTCTCCTTGACAAGCCCAATAACAACCCAGAGAGTTTCATGGGAATTTGCACCCAGGACGCAGGTGGCGCTGTGGGTTTAAACCACAGAGCCTAGGACTTGCCGATCAGAAGGTCGGCGGTTCGAATCCCCGCGAGAGGGTGAGCTCCCGTTGCTTGGTCCCTGCTCCTGCCAACCTAGCAGTTCGAAAGCACGTCAAAGTGCAAGTAGATAAATAGGTACCGCTCTGGCGGGAAGGTAAATGGTGTTTCCGTGCGCTGCTCTGGTTCGCCAGAAGCGGCTTAGTCATGCTGGCAACATGACCCGGAAGCTGTACGCCAGCTCCGTCAGCCAATAAAGCGAGATGAGTGCTGCAACCCCAGAGTCGGTCACGACTGGACCTAATGGTCAGGGGTCCCTTTACCTTTAATTTATTAGCAGCTTGCCCTTGACATATGTGGAGTTTGCAGAGGCTATGCAATGATAGTCTAGTGGGATCAGCTGACTGGAAACCGTCCAGTTTACGATGAGTCTATGTGGTGTAATGGTTAGAGTGCTGGGCTAGGATCTGGAGGCCAGACTTCAAATCACTGGGAGACCTTGGGCCAGTCACTGTTCCTTAGCCTTGCCTGCCTTACAAAGCTGTTGTGAGGACAAAATGGGAGGAGGAGAACCTTGGAAACATGGGATGTAAATGTGGTGGACTCCATAGTCGAAGCTCATCAGACAAGCTGGTGTTCATTGAGTTCAACCTCTTCAGGCTAATTAGTTTTGCTTTATTGTCAACAGGCTGTGCCAGTGAAAGTCAATGCAGAGACTATTTGCCTGAATTGGCCCATAAAGTTGTGATGATTCAGCAGTCTTGCCAAAAGAATCCGACTGGGCTTTTTCTTAATCTTCCCAGTAATTGCCTGCCTTTCTCTTCTAAATGCTAGTGCTTTGCACTGTGATACATCTTCGGCCTTGTATTGAGGAATGCCAACTTCTCTACGGAGCAGAAGCGCCTTGAAGTTTTCTTCCTAAAAAATGCTGAAGGGCATGTCTCTTGCGCATTGCTGACCGGCTTGGCTTTACAGCAATCTTTGTATTGTCACAGTGACTCACAAAACTCAGGACCTCAAGCTCCCACCCTGCTCCCACAGGAAGCTCCTAACTCTTCCCCCGGCTCAGCCTTGGCCTATAAGGTACTCTCAATATTGTTCTTTTCCTTCCATTGCATTGCTGTCTTGTCAATATACTTTTCTGCCAGTCAGCACATGACTGCCTCAGTCCTGGGTAAATGCACAAATCTCTGCCAAACCTTTTCAGCTCTTATTTACAACACCTGCTACTGGTTTTCTCTAGAGCATTTCCTGCTAAGGTTAAGCCTCCTTTTTCTCTCTCACCTTCAACCTGCAATTGGTATTAAGATCTGCAGTTTAAAAGCTTGGAGCTTGATTTCTATCTACAGACTTATCTTTACTGTGAACAGTACACTTCCCAAGTGCATTAATACATCTAGACAGAGGATAGCCGAGGGTAAAGATTATATTGATGAAGCCTTGGTCCTATTGAAATCAAGATGTTGTTTTTTTTAACTTTAATTCCAGTAGGAGAAGCAGAGAAGTGACCAAACATATGGGAATATTTTTTGTTAGTTTTTTCATCCTTACAATATAATTGCATTAACTTATTTAATTTCTGTTTGCATAAGCAGCAAACTTTCAGTTTCACACATCTGCATGCCACGTTAGGTTTTTAAAGGCCTGGAAAGTTTTTAAATATTGCTACTTTTCTAGGATGCCTAAAAGTAAAGGCTGTTGCATCATTTTCTCAATCCCACTTCAGCCATACCCACATTCATAGTTTGGCTGCATCCACTTTGACCTGAGAGCCTAGACCAGAGGATTAGCCATAGGTCTGAGAAAGGTTAGCTGCCCGTTGCCTAAAGACATGGCATGAGAGGGGAAACGAACGAGGAAGAAAGAGGAAAACAGAAAACTCGGGTACCATTTCTTTGAGTTGCAATTACCAACTGAATTGGAAACAGTTCAGGGCCAGCAGGAGTCTGATGGAGAAGGGGAAGTGGGCTTTCAGTGGAGGTGATAGAAGGGACCCTGCTCCGCAACTGCTCCATCTCTGCAATTCTATTCACAGGATAATGGCTTCTGAAAAGCATGGCAGAGCACCTGCAGGAGGAGTAATGAGTCCACACCTGCTTCTGCACCAAAGAACATCCTGAGGCTAAACATAACAGCAGGTGAATAACAACGCTGGCATAAAAAGTGCAAGAGCAAAAGACGGCGGCGTATTGGACAACAGCAAACTAACTTCAGACAAGTTAATCTTTAAATGTTCTGACAAATAGGGGGTCATGTATGCAGAATGAAGTTCTTGTTATGGTTTTCTTTTCTTCTTTTTTCTTTATGACTGGCTCTTGGTTGTGGTGACATTTTCTGCTAAGGTGTCTCACGTGTTGATGCCGTGTTCCTTTGAAGGATGCCTCCTCTATATTGTAACTATAATGTGCAGTGCTTTTTTTCTAAGAAAACATTTAGGGTTACTCTCATTTTGACTCAGGAAAATCACCATTTTATAGTTCAAATCGGGAAAAATAAATATAGTAAATGGACAAAAATACAAGGATTCACAAAATGTTTAGAGGTATGCGTACCCCTGTGTACCCACCCAGGAAAAAAGCACTGATAATATGTCTTCAGTGCAGCAAACACTCTTTTGTCGTTATACAGGTGTAAACTGAGGACGGAATAAATGCACTGATTTGGTTCACAGTTTCTGGGAAGGGTTCAGACCAGGAAGCAAAACGTTCGACTTAAGCACCTCTTAAGTTACACCCAGCTGCACTGCAGCCACACACTGACCCTCTTCCTCCTTCGAGCACAGACACACCCCTTGTGTTTCTCTCGGCCTGTTTGTGAATAATAAAGACACATAACAATCACTGTGAAAGTGAACCCTGTTCTCTTCTCCTGTAGTGGAGATCAATTTCACTGAATTATATAAGAGTGAATAGGGAGCTTCACGGCGATCAGGTTTTAGGGTGGCATCAAATAACACTGGGAACTGATCCACTGAAAACCTTTGGTCCCCTGCCTGCTTGCAAATCCCTATTACTCCTAAGGTGAGTGCTGGTCACTAGCCAAACTAAGGCCATGCTTCATTTCACGTATACTTTTTTTGTGTTTTTCCCTGTCTTTGCTGGAGCTGCTGTTAAAGTGAACTGATCTTTTTCTTTCAAGGAGATCACGGCTCTTGCACTTTTAATAGCTGTGGAGACAACAAGAATTCATCAACAGAAGCTTTTTGAATCCCTTCCTGATGAATTGTCCCTGCTCACAATGCCATCTTCTATTAACAAAATATGAAACATGCCCTGCCCCCCTCTTTAATCTGGTCAATCTAGTACTAGGGATGGTCAGTAGGGAGACTGGGGGCTGCAATGGTGGCTGGTGCTCATTAGGACTGGTAGGGTGGAAGGCTGGGAGGTCAACAGTAGGGGGAGCCAGAGCAAATGGCTGGGGAAGCTAGAGCCAATGACAGGTGGAGCTAACTCATTCTGCTTTCGTCCCCACCCTCGAGTGCTACCAAGGCAGCACTGAAACTAAGAGGTATCTCAAACAAGAATGACTCAAGGACCATTGAGATATGGAACTTTACAAAAAAGCAAATACTTACCTGGTAAGGAAACACAAGGTTGTTGTTGTTTTTTTAAAAAAAGCTTAGTGGCTTTGTAAAACATCTGCAGGGGGTTGAAGGTCCATGTTTGTTTTCCCAGCAAGTAAGAGGCTCCTTTAGAGCGATCAGAGTTAATGCAGTCTCTGGAATAATATGTATTCCTGATGGTAAGTCTTCACCACTTGGCCATGAAGCACTCTGCCCTTATTATCAGCTCCCTATGCAAAAGCAGCTTCAGGACTGCTCCATTGGGACAGTTCCCCCTGCTGCCCCTTGCCAATCTTCTTTCTCCCATGTGGATGCATGAAAAACAGTTTAGAGGACAAAGCATAGGGGGAAAAAGGGACAGGCCAAAATATCATCAGCGAATACACTTGACAAAGGTCCTATATTTCATCCTCTCTGGGATACTTAGCATATTTTGGCCGTGAGAGTGCTCTAGCAAGCTGCTCCCATGTGCAAAGTCAAAACAAGGGGGCTGTTTAGACAACTCTCACTGTTTCCAAGATAGCCCAAAATGCATCAACAAGTTACTTTGGAGATCCTTGCTATGCACATGGGAAAAAATCTCTATTGATGGAGCTGGCCCAATAGTAAATCACTCCATTTCTGCGAGTGATGTTGCTTTGCCTGTGCTGATCTGTTGGACTAATGGGATTGACAGGTTCCTCTTTGCTGCTCCTTGTGCAAAGGCTCTTTGACATCCCCCAATGATGCAGAGTTGCGGTGAGCAAAGCTGAATGACCTTTCCTTCCAGATTGCAAAGGGCAAGAGCCTAGTCACAGCTAAAAAACAAAAACAAAACATTCACTGACTTAAGAATTTGAAGTCATTTCCAAGTTGAGTGTTCTGGGCTTCAAGCAATGGACTCCCTCCCACCTCCCCCCACCCCTTGTTCTATGTATTGCATTTCCTTTGTCAACAAACCTAATTGTCTTTTCTAGAAATGTTATTAATCTGACACATCCTAGGGATAGCTAAACCCTTGGTGTCTCCCCCCCCCCCGTTCCCTTCACTATGTATCTCCAAGAACAGGTCTCCTTATCCAGTCCTCAAGATTTGCACTTGGCAACATCCACTTCTCAGCCTAGACTCCTCACTGGCCCTACTCTGAACCCTCTTTGTGTGCTTTTGCCTGGCCAGAACAGGATGATCTTCCTGTTTTCTTGCATGGATGGAGGCTGGAGGGAGTGGTGTGTGCATGTGTGTGGATTTCACAAGGCTGCAGTGTAGCCTGCTGTGCAAAGTGGTGTCACACCTGTGGCTCCACCCAAGTTTACCCTCTGGCCCTGCCCACCACTGGCATTTGGCCCCCAAAAGGCAAAAGTGGCCCCTTGGACTGAAAAAGGACTTCCCATGACTGGTCTTGACATTAAACAAACGAAACCTGTATTTATTTGGTACGGGGGCAGGGGGCAGAACAGAGACATTTATTGTACAGTACTTGGCTGATTAAGGTAGTGCCCGGAATGAATTGGGTTATTTAAAACCTGCTTTAAGTGCCAGCTGTTTTAATATTTAACAGATGAAGATTGTTTTCCTGCCCTGTGGCAGTTTTGATAGCTTTAAGCTTCTCGAACTTTTAATTCAAATGACAATCATGCATAAATAACAGATGCAAAATAGCTGTGGCTGTCTCCCCTCCAGCATGGTGTTGCTGTGTTGCAGAAGCTGCTGCCCAATTCTGTGATACAGAACCGCCTCACTTTTCCACAACCACTTTTCTCATACGTAGGCTCTCATACTTCGTGGATTTAGTATGATCAACTCAGCGGTCTTGCTGGGTGCTTTCACTGCTATTGCCATCTGAACTCTTCATATTTTGTGCATACGCAAACAGCAAAACTGCACATGGGAAAGTGATTTAGTATGATCAACTCAGCGGTCTTGCTGGGTGCTTTCACTGCTATTGCCATCTGAACTCTTCATATTTTGTGCATACACAAACAGCAAAACTGCACATGGGAAAGTGACCTGAGACTATGGGAAATAGTAGAAAAAAGGAAGAGGAGGAGGAAAGAGAAAGACTGACTTCGTGGCCTCTACTTCCTGATCACATTATGTGAAGGAATTGCATTCTTAAAATTGCAGCTTATGTCTAATTTCCAGCCTGGAGTGAGACTTGGATTCTACCGGCCTCTTGATTGCAGAATAGATAGGAAAAGACAAGAAGCAACCTGTAGGCAGGACTGAACGTGAAAGGTAAAAAAAAACCTAGGCTACAGTTTTGTTTTGCTTTGTTTGGCTGCCTTTTTAAAACTCTGCCAAGACGGTCCAGGTCAAGAAAAGTCAAGTTGCAAAGGTCATGGATATCAGCCTTTGACTTCATTGTCTCACAACACTGTCAGCTGCCTCCTAGTGCTGTGGCTGGTGCTGGCAAATAGGGGCCCAGCCTGGGAATTCAAGAACTGGCCTTGTGGAGCATGTAATCAGAAAGTGCACTGCCCTTACCTAGAGCAAAAAACAGGACCCTGAAACAGTGCAGGATGAATGTTTGCATACACATTTCCTAATGTGTTAGCTTTAAGGGAACTGCTCTTTTTGAAATGTTTCACATGCACCCCTTCCTAATTTTTCTAATGTTTTCTTGGTCACACAGTCTTTCTGGAATTGGATTCAGCATTTCTCTTTGTTAGAACGGCAAAAAATAGATTAGCACTCATCTATTACAAGCCTCCCTTGTGTACATCTTCCCCAGAAATATGGCTGACCTATTTGCAGAGTCTGCTGCCGAAGAGCAGCAGTGGGGGTGGGCTTTGTTGGGGTGAACATAAAACAGAATGCGGAAGGCATTCTGCACACAGCTCTACTACTCAGGGCAAGGAGCAACCAGGTACTTGGAATTAAGTCCTACTGACGTACACTGGACTTCATCCTAGTTGTTTGTTTAGGATTTCCAAAACCCCATAGGTTGCTTTTTCTGCATTTTGGTTACATTCAGCTCTCTGCCTTATTCGTGTCTCCAGGATTCTGTACAGTATGAAAATGTACCTACCCTACAGTCCAGTGTTAGAAACTGAGATATGAAAGCTAGGAGCTAAATGGTACCTTAAACTCAGCTTATTGGCGCAACAACAGAATATCTAGGTGCACTTTTTAAATAACAAGAATACAAAGCTGAAAATGAATGAACTGTATCTAAAATATTATGTTCATTTTTCACAGGGTCTAGTCCTTCCCTTGCCTACCCCGCTAATATTCTTAAGAGGGTCTCTTCTCCAGTCTTCAGAGAGTAGCTGGAAGTGGGGAGGCAGAAAAAGGTCCTCCTTTCCTTCCACTCTACAGTTTTAATCTGAACTTTTAGGCGCAGTACTGTGCCCAGAGCTCAGAAACTGCTCACACTGATGAAATTCCCTATTGCAAAATGCACATAGAACAATGGGAGTTTCGAACACTGCTTCAGTCACAGTTGGGTCGGTGAAATATAACATCCAAAACCAATGTTGATTCCTTCCTGTTGTTCACAACAAAGATTGGTGATGCTTTGGTGATCTGTTTCTTAGGAGCAGCTGCTGAGTACAGCATCTTTAAGACATTGTTAGTCTCTGTAGTGGCATTCTCCCAACATCTGAGAGAAGAGCGTAACTTTCTTTTACAATTAAAATGTTACGATTGCACGATCAAGTGCAAGAGGGATTTGTGACATATTAATGTTTAATTGCAATTGCGACCAAAACTACTGAATTATCTATGATCAATGATTCCATAATTCATGAAAGGCACAGGCAGCAACTTATTGATCCGAGGCTGATCTCACACAGTGACGCAAAGGCAAGGACCTAAGTCGAGTTCAAGTTGATTTAGAGCCATTCTGGGAACAGAGGCTGCTCCCAGTAATTCAGCAGGGGAACAGCACTAAAAATATTTAATGGGAAAAGGAAATAAATTTCAAAAGGATGCATTGCAAGGTCTTCAAATGCTAAGAATCCCTTTGTTCTTGGAAAATATTTTGCTGAGCCATAGTCCAGTTTTATTTCTCACTAAAACGTGCTATCCTTTACGTGGCAGCTTAACTTTCCGTATAGTCACATATAATATCCTACTACCGTATCAGGCCTTCTTAAGCCGCCCTGAGCCCGGCCTTGGCTGGGGAGGGCGGGGTATAAATAAAATTTATTATTAGTATTATTATTATTAAGAATGCTTGCAATAGGGTTTACAAAATGGGTAATGATGGGATAGCAATCCCCTATCTTATTTTACTTTATGCTTTTTTTTTTTTTACAGTCAAGGGGCAACTCAGGTGGAAAGAGCATGTAGGCAGCTCCTGGCAAGGTCAAGGTATCCTTTCTTAAGCTGACTGATCACATTTACAATGTCCGTGTTTGTAGGGTGTGTGGTGTATGGGGTGCCGTGCTCCTTATTGTCTACCTTTGGTTCCCACCCTGCACTCAGCTCTCACCTGTGGCTCCTAGAAGCTGTCAGCGTGCAACAGCAGCTACAACCTGGGAACAGCTTCAACTGGCCGGCAAAACCAGGTGATGGTAGCCAATGGGTCTCAAACCCTTGGTGAGTTAGGGACTTTCCTTGCATGCAAAGACAATCTCCAGTGGATTGAGGAGATGAGACCTATAATGGGTCCAATGGTCAAGAAGGCAGTTCCTGCATGTAGAGGGAACTGAGGGGCAGATGGGGCTCTTCAACCTGGGAAAATAGGCCATCTAGGAGAAGGAGAACTCTGATCCTAAACTTCTGCTGCCTTGCAGGATACAGGAGAAGAAAAGTCTAAGGAGTGAACTCTACACAAATCTGGAGTGGAGTCTCTAAGACTGTTGAATGGTGCCTTGTATGCCTCCTTCTGGCAACTCCTGAAGCCAATCTAGTGCCAAATGTATTTATCTGCTTTCCTATGGACTATCTCAGTGAGGCAATATTGTCGTCTGGGCAGTCTAGAACCTCCATACACAGTGACCAGGCTTATGCCCCAGGGAGGTCACTTCGGTGCTGTTAATGCAGTGGTTTGACTTCACCTCTGGAAGCACACTCCATTGTCTCTCAAGGCAGATGGATAACAACAACAACAAAGTTTATGGGGGAAGAGTTCCTTTTATACAGAAACACAGTGACCTTTCGATGTCCCAAGTCCACAAGGGAATGTGACTCAGGTGTGCTAGAATATCTTATTTATGTACGTAATAATATTTCCCCTCCCAGGAAATTATGATGGCACAAAAAATTGCTTTTTAAAGTGCCTCCTGAAGACTTTTTACCCCACCAATATTTTTCATGTAGCATGGTTGGGCTTGCTCATGCGGGTTTTACAGGTGGATTTAATGTATTTTTTTTCCCTTTTAACGTTACATTTTATGTATTTTGTTTTTATCTCCCCAACACCATATTCAAATTTTGTGTTTTTAAAAATATATATTTAAAGAAATAAAAATAATTAGGAATAACTATCCTGAACGCCCCACCCCGCCCCAACCAACTTCTGAATCCTGCATATTAGGACTGAAAACACTATGATGCAAGGCAATGTGAAGAAATAGCTTTAGGCTGCAGTAACTGGAACAGCCCAATATGCTCAGCCCAGCTCACACACCCATGCATGAAACTCACCGTTGACTCAGCCAAGCCACATACACTTCCAAGCTATAAATGTGCTGTGGTTGCCCGATGACTCCTTCCCACCTGACTATACCTCTCCAGATTACTCTTCTGTGCTGGGTTGAAAGAGTTGCTCAAGGAGAAGGTAGGCCTTCAAATATGATAGGAGACCCCCCCCCAAAGTTACCGGTATACTGAAGAGTGGTTGCTCACAGGCTGTCATTCCATGTCGCAAGGATCCCAGGATTTGCTTTATGTGCTTCATGTGCTTTAAATGTATTGTGTGGATGTGGCCACATGGCAAAATATCAGAGGCTTTATGGAGGTGGCTGTAGTAAGGGGTTTGTGTATGTACAGTCTTTCGATTGCAAAAGAATAAAAATAATGTGAAAGTATTTTTTAAAGCATTTGTATTTCCTGTTAACCTAAGTAAAAAGTTAAATACTGAGGCCCCAGCACAACAACAGCTTGTTAGGCTGGGACCACTCTTTAAAATAATTAGGCAGGATGCTTCCACTGACCCTTGGACTTCCAAAGCATCTTATACAAAACCACTTCCATGTACATAGAAAACTGGCAAGTTATGTAAGTGGGTTCTAGCCCTGACCTGCTAGTTTAGGTACTCTCTCTCTCTCTCTCTCTCTGTGTGTGTGTGTGTGTGTGTGAGAGAGAGAAAGCATTCAGTCCTGCAATCTCCCATCTGCAATCTGAAGTGCTATGGGCCAGAAGTCCCATTAAGTCCTCCAGAACGGACTCTGTAGTAAGTGCACATAGCATTTCAGCATTACAGGGCAATCCTAACCATGCCTACTCAGAAGCAAATCAAGCTGAATTCAATGGGACTTATTCCCACACACAAATTGTTCTGGGAGTAAGCCCCATTTAGACACAGAGTGGGACCTGCTTTCACGTTAGCACACATAAGATGACACTGTCAATTTTTCCTTTCTTTCATTCTTTCCCACCTTCTGCAAAGCCCCACCCATTCCCTCTAGCTCTCCTCTTTTTGTGTCATGTTTCGAAATTTACAGGTGACGTTGGCTTTGTACACATTCCCCTATACTCTACTTCCAGTGTGCTCCTCCTACCTCTGGTTTGGAAAGTGGTGAATCATAGAACTAGAGTCGTACACAACCATAAAGGTCACCAGGCCAACCCCCCTGCAATGCAGGAATCACAACTAATCATGTGTACGCACTTTGGTCACAATCGATGTCTGTTCTGGACTTCCTTACGAAATGCTGCTTTCCAATGCATTTTCCCCCAAACCAGCTTCAGTCCAAATGCAGGGAAAAAACCCAACAATCTAGTCCTAGATGCCTTTTAAGCCAACAATGTATACGCAGCCTTTGTGGGTCAAATAAGGTATTGTACCACACTGTGAATGACCCCCCCAAAGCAGGAAGCCAGAGTGGTCTTTGTGTTAGTCTGTTGCAAACAAAACAAAACAAAACAAAACAAAACAAAACAAAACACAGCAGAGTCTAAGTTGTGGCATCAAAAAAACTTAACGACGTTTACTATGCCATAAGCTTTCGTGAACTAGTTTTGTGTTAAGTCTTTAAGGTGCCACAATATCTCTTTGTTGCTTTTTCTGTGTTGCTGATTTTCAGATTGTGAGCAGAGGGGCTCATGTTTTCTATCTAGTTGTTATAATAGCATAAAATACAGCATAACCCCATGCACACTTCTTCAAAAATAAGCCTCATCAAGTCCTGCAGGGCTCATTCCAAGCTTAAGAAGGTATAGCTGGAGTAGGTACACTTTGGGTTTGTAGAACCTACCAGAACCCCAAGATTTGCCAACCTGAGCCACCTTGTAAAAGACAAACACAATGAGAGAACTGGGTACCCTTGAACACACTCTGAGTCTGGGATGGGTTTTCAGTACCAAATCTGCTTGGAGCTCACAATCCTTTGTCACTAAAGCCCACTCTGGGTCAGCCCAGGCTTTCTTCATTTCAGCTGCCGAATTTAAGGGAATGGGGAATTTATGTGTTGCCACTGTTCTCCGTCCTAATCAAGATCCACAGCATACAATTAAAACGGACATTTAAAGCATATGACTTCCTCCAAAGAAGGAAGACTTAAGACAGCATGACATAAGCAACTGAGTCGGCAGAGCATGAGACTTTGGGTCGCGGGTTCGAATGCTACAATGGGGTGGGCTGGATGACCCTAAGGGACCCTTCCAACTCTACGATTCTGATATTATTTCACTGCTTTTTCTTCTTCTTTTATAACTGCTGCAAGAAAAACCAACAGCGCCAGACGAGGCCAGCCACCCCTTTTGCAAGGGGGATCGGAGCGCAACCCCCTGGGGACCTCGCGCATCCCGCCCAGAGAGGGAGACCCGCCTTCTGCCCACGCCCTCCCCCAGGTATAGGATCGTACCCAGTCCCTGAGCCCTCCCCCTTCCCAACACGGCACATTGAACTTATCCTCCCACCCCCAGGGCGCTCAACGCAGAAGGAGGAGCTCCCCTCCCCCGCCCCACTCCGAACTCCCGTCGCCCCCTTTCTCCCCCACCTTCCGAGAGAGCGAGAGAGAAGGGGGCGGGGCTTGGGCGGCGCGCATGGGCCTTGCGCCTGCCTGGCTGCGGCTCCTCGCCTCCTCCGCCTCTCATTCTCCCTCGCGGGCAGCCGCCGCCGACCCTTCCCCAGTGCGGAGCCGGTGTGGTCGTGGCGCGGGGCCTCTCTCTCAGTCGGCCTCCCCGCTTTTTGCGCTGAGGCGCCGACAGAGCGGCGGGAAGGGAGAGAGGAAGGGGCGCTGAGGAGAAGAAGAGCGGAGGGGAAGCGGCGCCTCCATCCCCCCCCGCCACCTACCTCAGCTTTCATTCCGTTTCTCCTCAGAAATAAAGAGGCGGTGCTTCGTCCCTCCCCCCCTCAAACGGTTAATTTTTTTTGAAAAAAAATTCCCCTCCCTTCATCTCCCCCCCCCCGCCTCAGGCTTTTGTTGTGTGCGGGGGGGCCCTTACCTTCCCCCTCCCCGCCTCTGGGTAGGGAGTCGGGGGTCTCCCGGAGGACGATGAGGCGAGGCGAGGCCGGCGCGGGATGCCCCCTCCAGGCGGACGCCCCCAGGACGCGCCGGGGCCGCTGAAGAGGAGGAGCAGGCGGCGGCGGCGGAGGAAGACCACCACCGCCGGGTCCTCCAGCGAGAGGCGGCCGAGCGGGCAGGAGGAAGAGGAGCCGCCGCGAAGGGCAGCGCCGCCGCCGCCGCCGCTGCTGCTGTGGGCGGGAAGGGGCTGGGAGGCGCCGCCGCCCCTCGCTCTCCCCGCGAGCAGGAGGTAAGCGCGCCTACACGCCGGGGGTGGGGGAGGTGGGTGGGGGCCCGCCATCCGGGCCACGCTCACCTGAGAGCGGCTATCCCCACCCGCCATGCACGCCAGCGGGGCTCCCTCCCCAGGCAGCGTGCACCGCCGTTGTTGCAGCAGGGCTCCGATCCAGGGGGCGCTTACCTGAGAGAGAGGCAGCCGCGCTGGAGGAGTTTTGTTCCAGCCGGCGTGCAGCGCTGCGATCCGGGGCACGCTCGCCTGATAGAGAGAGGGAGGGAGGGCCCCCCCATTCCTTGGAAGAATCGAACATCTTAACTCCCCCTCCAATTGAACAAGGAGGTGGATTCCACAGATCTGGCTCTGTGGGGCCTCGTGTCCGGGAAGGGCGCCGCGCTGTGGGGCCGAGGGGTGCAGCTGCACGGCGGAGGCGATTGCAGGGTTGGGTTAGGCTAGCTTCGTTCTGTGTGTTTCCCACGGGCGGGGGAAGGGGAGACTCGTTCGTGGGGTCCCAGGGTGGGGCTGCCTGGCCATGTAGCCCTCTTTATATATGTGCGCGCGCGCGTGCACAGGGTGCCTTGGGTGCAAGCTCCTTCTTGAGTGCAAGTGGGGCTTGCTCCCAAACAAACGTGCACAGGCTTGGCGGTGGAGCTGGGATGTTGTGCACCTGCATGGCAGCTCCAGCTCGGTGCAGGTTGCCCTCCGGCTTAACGGGCTCCGTGGAGGTCCACCTGTGCATCTAGCTTGAAGGATCTCTGTAGAGGGGGAAGTCTTTTGGGGATTGGGATGGCCAGCCTGTCGGGATCTGTGCCTGGGGGTGTGGGAGCGACTGCTCTCCGAATGCCCCTCAGTTGGGGTTCCTGGCATCCAGTTGATAATCTGTCTCATGGAACACCACATGGAGATCCAGATGCACCCCAGACATTATTTTTATTCGGAAGTTCTAAAGTGTTCAATCTGGCTGACTTCCAGATAGGTGCATCAGATTGTATTTGTGCAATCCCATTGTGTGCCATTCAGCAAGTGCCTTTCAGATGTACTCAGTAAATGCAATTGGGATTTGGCTGTGTATGCCTGGAGTTCAGTCTGCTAACCACTACTTAACCTTCCTCACTCTCACTTGCCTAAAAGCATCCATTTCTCTCCTTCCTGTCCCTGACCCATTGACTTGGGTCAGTTTCATTGGGGTGTCTTGCGTTAGGGGAAACCTGGGATGCTTCCATGGGTTTCCCTGAAGGCCAGAGTTGCTTCTTATACTAAGGGAATCTATTAAGGTACATTGACAGCATAATCCCATACAGATCTACTCAGACGTAGACCTACTCCCAGTTGCAAGCGAAATTAGGATTGCAATCCTGTATCCACTTACTTGGAGGTAAGCCCCAATGAGTAGACATATCTAGGATTGTGTTTAAACATCCTTTCTAGAAGTGTTTCCAGAGGAAATCGCCCCCACACCAAATGTGTGGTATATTTATATGTGATGCAAGATTATGTCCACAAAGGTTTATGCCCTGCTATATTTGTTAGTCTTTTAAATTGCCAAAAGACTCTTGCTTTTTTCTAGAGCTGTCCATATAACGTAGCTAGTGGGATGAGGATTGTAGTGGATTCATGGGTTGTAGTGGATTCGTGCTGGACTGTGTTCTCAGAACCTGCGGAGGTGTGAGTGTGGATGAAAGCTTGACCTGTTAGTTTCAGAGGGCAGACCTCTTTATGAGTTGTGGAGAGTGATGTTACTGCTATGGGGTGCTTTAGGTTTCGCAAGGGCCCCTTTGAGAGCTGTCAGGCTCCAAACTAGGATGTTGCTGTTTAGTCGTTTAGTCGTGTCCGACTCTTTGTGACCCCATGGACCAGAGCACGCCAGGCACTTCTGTCTTCCACTGTCTCCCGCAGTTTGGTCAGACTCATGTTTGTAGCTTCGAGAACACTGTCCAACCATCTCGTCCTCTGTCGTCCCCTTCTCCTTGTGCCCTCTATCTTTCCCAACATCAGGGTCTTTTCCAGGAGTCTTCTCTTCTCATGAGGTGGCCAAAGTATTGGAGCCTCAGCTTCAGGATCTGTCCTTCCAGTGAGCACTCAGGGCTAATTTCCTTAAGAATGGATGCGTTTGATCTTCTTGCAGTCCATGAGACTCTCAAGAGTCTCCTCCAACACCATAATTCAAAAGCATCAATTCTTCGGCGATCAGCCTTCTTTATGGTCCAGCTCTCACTTCCATACATCACTACTGGGAAAACCATAGCTTTAACTATACGGACCTTTGTTGGCAAGGTGATGTCTCTGCTTTTTAAGATGCTGTCTAGGTTTGCCATCGCCTTTTAATTTCGTGACTGCTGTCACCATCTGCAGTGATCATGGAGCCATGGAGCCCAAGAAAGTAAAATCTCTCACTGCCTCCATTTCTTCCCCTTCTATTTGCCAGGAGGTGATGGGCCCAGTGGCCATGATCTTCGTTTTTTTGATGTTGAGCTTCAGACCATATTTTGCGCTCTCCTCTTTCACACTCATTAAAAGGTTCTTTAATTCCTCCTCACTTTCTGCCATCAAGGTTGTGTCATCTGCATATCTGAGGTTGTTGATATTTCTTCCGGCAATCTTAATTCCGGCTTGGGATTCATCCAGCCCAGCCTTTCGCATGATGAATTCTGCATATAAGTTAAATAAGCAGGGAGACAATATACAGCCTTGCCGTACTCTTTCCCAATTTTGAACCAATCAGTTGTTCCATATCCAGTTCTAACTGTAGCTTCTTGTCCCACATAGAGATTTCTCAGGAGACAGATGAGGTGATCAGGCACTCCCATTTCTTTAAGAACTTGCCATAGTTTGCTGTGGTCGACACAGTCAAAGGTTTTTGCATAGTCAATGAAGCAAAAGTAGATGTCTTTCTGGAACTCTCTAGCTTTCTCCATAATCCAGCGCATGTTTGCAATTTGGTCTCTGGTTCCTCTGCCTCCAGCTTGCACTTCTGGGAGTTCTCGGTCCATATACTGCTTGAGCCTTCCTTGTAGAATTTTAAGCATAACCTTGCTAGCGTGTGAAATGAGTGCAATTGTGCGGTAGTTGGAGCATTCTTTGGCACCGCCCTTCTTTGGGATTGGGATGTAGACTGATCTTCTCCAATCCTCTGGCCACTGCTGAGTTTTCCAAACTTGCTGGCATATTGAGTGTAGCACCTTAACAGCATCATCTTTTAAAATTTTAAATAGTTCAGCTGGAATATCATCACTTCCACTGGCCTTGTTATTTGCAGTGCTTTCTAAGGCCCATTTGACTTCACTCTCCAGGATGTCTGGCTCAAGGTCAGCAACCACACTATCTGGGGTGTACGAGCCATCCATATCTTTCTGGTATGATTCCTCTGTGTATTCTTGCCACCTCTTCTTGATGTCTTCTGCTTCTGTTAGGTCCTTTCCACTTTTGTCCTTTATTATGGTAATCTTTGTACGAAATGTCCCTTTCATATCTCCAATTTTCTTGAACAGATCTCTGGTTCTTCCCATTCTGTTGTTTTCCTCTATTTCTTTGCATTGCTCGTTTAAGAAGGCCCTCTTGTCTCTCCTTGCTATTTTTTGGAAATCTGCATTCAATTTCCTGTATCTTTCACTATCTCCCTCGCATTTTGCTTGCCTTCTCTCCGCCGCTATTTGTAAGGCCTCATTGGACAGCCACTTTGCTTTCTTGCATTTCCTTCTCATTGGGATGGTTTTCATTGCTGCCTCCTGTATAATGTTGCGAGCCTCCATCCATAGTTCTTCAGGCACTCTGTCCACCAAATCTAAATTCTTAAACCTGTTCCTCACTTCCACTGTGTATTCATAAGGGATTTGACTTAGATTGTATCTTACCGGCCCAGTGGTTTTTCCTACTTTCTTCAGTTTAAGCTTGAATTTTGCTATAAGAAGCTGATGATCTGAGCCACAGCCCGCTCCAGGTCTTGTTTTTGATGACTGTATAGAGCTTCTCCATCTTTGGCTGCAGAGAAAATAATCAATCTGATTTCGATGCTGCAAACTAGGATACATTGCTTTAAATTAAAAGAACATCCAGCCAGTAGCCTGCTGTGGGAACTACTGTGAAATCTTTTTAAAAGTGCAGCTAAGGAAGTTGTTCTAGGCCCCACAAGGCAGGGTTCAGTGATTGGGAGAGAATGAGAAGTTATTCTAGAGTGTGCAGGGGCAGCCATAAAACATGCACATTGTGATCTTGGCTTGTATCATGACAGGGAACAAGTACTTCCCAAATTGTGTGTGTGATGGTGGGTGCTGCAGTGGATAGAGACTGCAAAAACACATGCCTGTGCCCTTCCTTGTATTTGCTTCTCATTGTGTTCTCAGTATGTGTTTAGAATGAAATGCCCTCAACCAGTTCACTTTAGGAATCTCTCCATAGCCTTTGTTCTTTTGAAGGTGCAAATAAAGAAATCTCAGATTCCCAGTATAATCTTCAGTAGAAATCGGCATGTTTTGTTACTGAATCAGCGAACAGTTCCATTGCTTTCTAAACAGGCTTTCTTTTTGTTTTGTTTCTCATAGTGTTTAATCTACACACCTTTATTTATTCTAGGTTATGCCAAGTTTTTCTTTGTTTCAAACAAATGTGGACATTGCTTCCTCTTTTTACCTGTTTGGGGGAGAAAAGATTAAGTTTCTTTGGCTCCTCAGCCCCCCCCCCCAGAAAGTAGTTTATTGCCAATTCTGCCCGCATGAGAGGAAAAGATATTATCCATGGGAAACATTTATTTTTGAAACAAGACATTTGGGAGTCCAGCACCTGGGACCTTTAAAAAAAATGTTAATGCAGCACTAGAATTACATTAATTATTACCTTCTGTATAGTTGGCAGTTTGAGTGATACTTTCTTTTCCAGGTGGTGTGAATAATACTTTTCAAACAGACTTTGAATTCCTTGTTAGTACAGTGGTACCTCGGGTTACAAACACTTCGGGTTAGAGACTCTGCTAATCTGGAAGTAGTACCTTGGGTTAAGAACTTTACCTCAGGATGAGAAAAGAAATCGTGCACCAGTGGCGTGGCGGCAGCAGGAGGCCCCATTAGCTAAAGTGGCACCTCAGGTTAAGAACGGTTTCAGGTTAAGAACGGACCTCTGGAACGAATTAAGTTCATAACCAGAGGTACCACTGTATTTCTTCTTGAATTGTGTAGCTGTACTTTTCTTGAGTCACTCTGGTGCTGACAAAAGTTGTGTATTATGAGAAACCTTGAAGGCATTTAGGCATCTTGCTGTGCTATCTTTCCTGTGTAGTTTAGTTAGTAAATTATATTAACATTATATTAATAACTTAGTTTACTCTGTCAAAGGCATCTATCCTTAAGCAATATACAATAATAAATATGCAAAAACAGTACTTGAAAGAGATTCTGTATAAACAATACAAATGTAAGGCTGTGGTCCAAACTTCTTTTGCCGTGGGCTGTGGAGTGGGTTTGGATTCACTGGAGGTGTCCTTTCCCAATCCCTGCCAGCGTCTGCTGGTGCAGAACTTCCTGTTTCACCTGCCAAACACTTGCATGGGCAGAAATACTTAGGGTGGGATGCCTGCTGGCAGCAGCTTACAAAAAAACCTCCAGGCTGGGCATTTTGGGTGAGTAGGAGGGACTTAGCTGGTTCAGGGTTCACTGTAACCCAGTCAAATGATGCCATTGGACTTGATCTGCCCTTACCGGTGTGCTGCAGCGCTGCAGATACAGTGGTAGCTTTGCCAGACTGTTAACCTCTGTCTCTCTTTAGCTATTGTTTGGATTGCAGCCTAAAACACTTAAGTTCCACAATGACTTTGATTTGTTCAATGTTAAACAATTTTTCATGAGCAATATGCTCTGTATTATAAGTAGTCAAATACTTGGTTTTGCTCGAGATTGAACTGAACATACCCAACAGGCATCTGGTTGGCCACTGTGAGAACAGGATGCTGGACTAGATGAGCCACTGGTCTGATCCAGCAGGGTTCTTCTTACATTGTTAATCATCAGTTGAAGTGGAACATGTTAAGGTTTTCTGTCTTACACTACTTTTCTCTGGCCCATGTCTGAAATTACCGGACCCCCTGCTAGATTCAGTTTTGGAAATGTCTGAAGTATTAACACATTGGATGGAGCTAAGGCTATGTGACAACTCCTTTTGAGATAAGGAATAGAATTCACTTAACTCTTATTCTTTACTTTCTGTATCCACTCTATGTCCTTTTTACAATAAAATATTAACTATGTTCATTCAGAAGTAAGTAACCCATGGTTGCTTCAGTGGGATCTCTAAATAAGTTTAGAATTGCAGTCTTGCTGAAACACTACTTAGTCAGAAATCTTATTTGTTATTAACAATGAAAGTACTTAAAAATAGGGACAGTAAGTAAAAAGCTCACCAATAGTAAGTGCTGTGGGAGTGTGAGTACATCACATTCATTTCAATAGGAGTCAAGTATACTTGCAAAGGTTCTAAAGCAACACAAGAGTTAACTGCTAAAGTTAATGGCTTTCCACAGTGATGTATAGTAATAGTAGACAATGAGAGTGAGCAGCTTATTGCAAGTATCAAATTAATATCCAAAATTCTAAGCAAACAGCATAGAAATAGATTTTGAACTTTACTTAATTTGCTTGAATAGGGCACATGCTTTTTTATTTAAACCTATTGGAACAATCCGAAGGTAAAAATAAAATTCAATTTTGAGTATATTTTGACTATACAAACTACAACATTCCAAGTATACTTCAGGTTTTTATTAGCATTGGCAGATATCAAATTCAGGTTCTTATTGTGCCATAAGTATATGTACACAAGTGTATTGAAATATGACTTTTTCTGGTCAAATTAATTTAAATGAATTAAGTGGCAGTTCACTGCTACAGTAAACCAGTTTTGATTGGAAGACTGCTCAACAAAGTGTGTGTTTGTTTCTATCTTTCATCCTAACCTCATAGCCTACTATACTTTGAGCCTATGCAAGTTCCCTGTCTCTAGCTTTTATAGGAAGGGAAAGTACAATGGTACCTCGGGTTAAGAACTTAATTTGTTCCAGAGGTCCGTTCTTGACCTGAAACTGTTCTTAACCTGAGGTACCACGTTAGCTAATGGGGCCTCCCGCTGCCGCCGCACCGCCGTCGTGTGATTTCTGTTCTCATCCTGAAGCAAAGTTCTTAACCCAAGGTACTATTTCTGGGTTAGCAGAGTCTGTAACCTGAAGCATCTGTAATCCGAGGTACCACTGTACACTGAAGTCAGTGTTAGAAACTGAGATATATAAGCTAGGTGCCAAATGACACTTTAAATCTAGGTTAAAGGGAAAGGTAAAGGGACACCTGACCATTAGGTCCAGTCGTGACCGACTCTGGGGTTGTGACGCTCATCTCGCTTTATTGGCCGAGGGAGCCGGCGTACAGCTTCTGGGTCATGTGGCCAGCACGACTAAGCCGCTTCTGGCGAACCAGAGCAGCCCACGGAACGCCGTTTACCTTCCCGCCGGAGTGGTACCTATTTATCTACCTGCACTTTGATGTGCTTTTGAACTGCTAGGTTGGCAGGAGCAGGGACCGAGGAACGGGAGCTCACCCCGTTGCGGGGATTCGAACCGCCGACCTTCTGATCGGCAAATCTAGGTTATGGTCGCCATAACAAACTGTCTTATTTGTCAGAGCAGATGACCCTTGGGGTCCCTTCCAGTGCTACAATTTTATGATTCTATGATCTTAACTACAACACCTGTTATCTTAACTGGTTGTGTAAATAGAGTTGGCTGGTGAGCAGCCAGGGGCCTGTTTGAATGGTGCACTGCTAATCTGCAGAGTGTTGAAGAACACTTGTTTTTTTCTTTCTTTTAGAGTTTTGCTGAGGAGTGAAACTGGCTAGGCTAACAGCTGCTTATATGTAGGCTGCTCTTCAGGTTCAGACCCTTGCACCACAAGGTAATATTTTTTTCCAGTCTGCTGGTTCGTTACAGGAGTTGGAAAAAAATAGTTTTCTGCTTTACTATGCAGCTTGCCCTCCCTTCCAGCTAGTGCATGTACTTAATTAAATAGTTGCTGGATCAAGGCTACTGTTGTAGTTGTTAAAAGGATCAAAAGTTGTATGCCTCTATATACACCAGTTGCTGGGGACCACAAATGGGTAGAGTGGTGCTGCACTCTGGTCTTGTGACCATGATGAGAACAGGATGCTGGATTAGATGGGCCTTTTGCCTGATTATTCACGGCTCTTCTTATGTAAAGCTATGATGTTGCCTTTGCTCTTCAGAAATGAATGCTTACACTCAGCCTTTATTTTGAAATGGAAATAGAAATATCTTTTGTGATTTCTTCTGAAATTCTCGTGCTTTGCGAGCTTGTGAATAATTGTAGATGCACATGTTCTATGTGTGTTGTTGAATGGAAACCTCTTGTTTTAGTAACTGACATTCAAAGCCAACACAAGCTGTCCTTTAAATCTACTTAATAAATTGATAGAGTGATTTTATCATTCCTTTATACTGAAAACCCCTAGAGAGAGCTAATGATGCATAACATTGCTATCATCCTGTGCACTCTCAGCAGCAAAGTTGAAAGAATAGCGGTAGCAACAAAGGACAATGTAACCTTACCAACACCTCTGCCAACTCTGCTGCCATACACCAGTTGTGAACTTTTATATGGATGACACTCCCACATTAGCCATGTACAGAAGGCACCTTCAAACTGTGGTTATAGAATGAATCTACAATGACAGCATCTTATTTAGTCCACACCTCTTCCCACACACAAAATCATGGAGAGGCAGAGCCCATAGTCACAGCAAGCTCTTGTGGCCCAGTGGGTAGGATGGCTGTAATTGATGCCTGTAAAAACAACTGCTCTGAGCTTCCCCTGAGGGCTAAACCTTTGAAGAGGAAGTAGCCAGAGTGTCCCTGATCTGGAATGTGTTGAGATCTGGGTTGGGGCTCTGCAGCAGTTTGTGGCCATCAAGAATAGTTTGCATGCCCATTAAATTTCGCAGTTCAGATACTGGCTTTACACACCAAAAATCAAGGAAAAGTTTATCCATTTTAGAGGTAATTCTGCATTTCATGTTATGTAAGAGTAACAGCAACTCTTTTCCAATGATGTCAGTCTTTGAAATGTTCATTGGCTCAGTAATTGAGATAAACACAAATCCTCATAACCATTACCAGAAATTGCTTCTTAATTGGAGGCCCACATATCAGGTTAACAAAAGAATACCTCTAATAACAGTTTACAGATTATGCCCTTTTGGTATTGGCAACATGGGAGTGATGTGTTGCTGAGTTATACCTACTGTGCCCCCTGTTGCTGCCTCTGTGCCTCTACCTAATGCTGTATTGAGGTCTGCAGTTACTGTGAAGAAGGCAAGGACCCCAGAGGTCGTGTCTCCTCGGCTCTTTGCCCCAAGGGTGGTTGCAGTAAATAGAACCTTCGAGAACAAATAAGTCATGACGTTTGTTCGGAGGTCCTGAGCAAGATCACATTTGCTTTTTCTTTGAAAGCTTTTTAAAAGCTATCAGTAGTTTAAATCCTCTTGACACCCAAATGTATCCCAGCAGCAGAACAGTAGGAAGGACCAGCAGGATTCTTTCTACCAGGAAAGAAGCAAAAGCCATACAGGGAATTATGGATTGCAATTCAAATAAAAAATGATGAGCCAATCATAGATCCGTAGAAAGAAGGTCTAAAAATGGGACCCATGGGCCAAACCTTCCCCAGGGGAAAGGTTTGATTTATGATGTGGTAGCAGCAATCCCAAGCAAAGAGAGAGGCTGTATGGTTAGAATCCAATATTAATTTTAAATCAGAATGGTTTCATCCTAGGGATGACTACTCAGTTGTAAGCCCCAGGATAATGTGTGTAGGAGTGCAGCCTCAAATGATTAAGAAAGGACTGATTTAAGTAATTTTCTTCTTTGAAAGTAATTGATTTCCTTAAACATACAAACATAAGCTATAGTAAAACATTTTGATTAACTAGAGCCTTTACACAGCCTAGTATCTAGAAAACTGAGTGGCTCTTGAGACTTTGCACACCAAATTATTAGTCTAAGGACCATTTTTTTTTTGTTTCTGTGCACTTGCAAGGATACTGAGCAAGATATGATGGCTAAAGTTGCACTTCTTTGTACACTTGTTTGGAAGTCCTATTTGAGCAAAGCCAAGCTTAAGTCAAATGCCATTCATGTTCATTTACAAGTAAGTGTCCAGGATTTTGCATAAGCAAGAGCTAGTATAGTAGTTGCTGTTTTTATTTCTATATAAGGTGGAACTTTGTTGCAGATTACTTAATGGAATCAGATATGTAAGAGAACTGAACTCAGTACAGATTGCAACTAGTTGGATGGCATAGCAAAACCAGGATAACTCAGTGGATAATTGTAGTGAGATATATGGTTGCATCTCTAGAATTGTAGCACCTGTGATAATAGAATTGGAGAGTTGGAAGGGATCCGGAGGGTCATTTGGTTCAACCTCAGCCAATGCAGGAATATACAAGTGGCCTGTATGGGGATAGAACCTGCAACCTTGGTGTTATCAGCACCATGCCCTAACCAACAGAGCTAACTGATAAGCTTTTCACTTTGATTAACCACAGTTTAGCATTGTATCCAAACCCGGGCAAACTGTGATTAGTCCTAGCTATGGTTTATTGAAACAAACTAGCTTCATAAACTAAGATTTGAAGTTGGCTTGTTTTTCTCAGATTTGTCGTTGAGACATTATGAAGCAGCAGAAGTGACTTGTTTGCAAAGTTTTTGCTAAAGTTCAGAAATATAATGTGGAATGTTGAATTTTTTTAGTATTTTTGGTGATCACTTACAATCTCAAGAAAGCAATATGACAGTATTGGATTTTTGGTATACAGTGGGCCCACCACCTACGCAAGGGCTCTGGGGGTCCATGCACAAAGGTAAAATCATGCAAAATCAGGAACCACAAGAACCACCCCCCAACCATTCCTACCTGTCTGGAGCAGGCCTTGCCCTCCACCTCATTTACTGGGCTCTGGGAGGGTTGTGCAATGGCCTTGGAACTCTCACAGGTTACAATAGTATAAATAAATAGCATGTAAGTGGTGGGCCCACTGTATTTTTTTTCAGTATGAGAAACTTGGCAAACAGGTCCTGCCGTTACTGTGCCCTGTTTACTATAGTTTAGTGTTATATGAGAAGGATTCCAAGAATCTGAGTGAGGCACTGGTTTCTTCCCTCTTCCTTCTATGTGGCTAAAAGGCAGACTTCTGCTGGGTTTAGTTTAACTTTCAGAGAGTCTTGGCTTATCCTTGTGTGCAATCCTCATTTAAAATAAGCAAGGCTTTCTTCTTAAAGAAGAAACAGTGTGTTTTCTTAAAAAATAATCCTTTGAACCTTTCTGCCCTATGCCCTGCTGTATTTGCATGGGATTTGTTGGGAAAAGGATACCACAGGTACAGCTTGATCCTATCTTATGGCACTAATGGAGCTCTAAAGGGGAGAGTGTGCAAGATGTAAATGTGAAAATTTAGTACTCCTGTGGCGGTTAGTGGGATTTACAGTCCAGTATGTGTGATTAGGATATTGAAGTCATAAGTTGCAATTTTAACCGTGCTTACTAGTAAATAAGTATCTTTTGAGCTTAGTGGACTTCAGAGAAAATACACTTAAGGTTCCCCTGCTTGTGTTAAAAAGTATTCTGCTTTAGTTGCAAGTAGGTTTTGGAGAACTAAGAAAGCATTCTGGAATCTTAAAATTGCCGCAATGCCAGTTTTCTTGCAAGAGTGTAATTAATTGTTGCATGTGAACTAGATATTGGACTGAAGAATGAATGCAGGGTAGGGAAGAAACCTGCAACTTTATATGATTCATGTAAGTTGGGCCAGTAAGAATTAAAGGCAGACAGACTCCTCTCACACCTGTGAACCAGAAAGCCTTTGGTTCACATTGTAAAACTTCGATGAATGCTCTGGATGGCAAATAATCATCACCTTCAGCTCTACATCTGTGAAAAGGGAGATTATTTTGACCTCTCTTAGGGTGTGTGAAGCTCAGTGCACACAGAAACCACTTAATAAATTATAAGAGTCAGCCTCTGCATATTATTGGCAATTTTGTATTGTAAATTAAGGTTCTTCCGACCTCCCAATACACACCACTATTTTGTTGAATTATGGTGTTTCCCAGATTCCCCATTTCACTTTTTTGAAGCACGGGAAATTTGGCCTTTCCCAATTCTGTGGCTCCTCACCTGTTCTTCAGGATTTCTCAAATAAGGTGTAAGTTCTGAGAGCACTTTAGTATGTTCTTTTTGTACTCTAGGATGAAATTAATATTGCCTGGAAGAGCTGTGTATTTTAAGGTAGATAGGTATCAAGTCCTTGTTGAGCTATAAGCCTGACCCCTCAACAGTCAGGTTGCACACAGTTCCTATTTTGGAGAAGGGTGGAAACAATATAAGAGTGCATGCAGCTTCTTCCACATCTTTGTCCTTGCAGATCAGTGATCCTTCCATTTACCTCCTCTTCCTTCAAGCACACCTGAGAGAGTCCTTTCTGTTGATCTTAGCTTCCATTGGCCACCTCAGCTGATTTTGAGCTTTAGACTTCTGGATACCATCACTAGAGAGAATATATCATGTATAGGCAAACTCGGCCCTCCAGATGTTTTGGGACACAATTCCCATGATCCCTAGCTAACAGGACCAGTGGTAGTCCCAAAACATCTGGAGGGCCAAGTTTGCTTATGCCTGGAATATACCATGGCTTTGAAGCAGTTGCATTTATGCCCCACCCCATTTTATGAAATGTGTGATTTCTCTTGATTTGTTCCATTGTGTAGTCAACCAATATAGATCTGAAACAATTACATTCCCCTCCCCACTTTTTATTGGGTCCATGTCCTGCTTAGAGTGTCTGAATTAATTGGAGTACAATTGTCTGCTGTATATCATTAGAAAATATATTTTGTACTTTACAGATATTACCACCAATATCTGAAATCAGCTATGCAGTTGCACTGTAGCAGCTTGTTGCATACTTGGCTGCTGTTCTCTCTGATATTCTTTGCTTTATGTTTATATTATTTACATAATGGGGATGAATTCATCCAAAAAGAATTAATCACTTTCTTGATTATTACAGACAATAGTTAAATCCTGGTAGAGTTGCCAGTTCTAATTTAAAGAGTAGAAGAATATAGTGCATTAAAAATAGAGAACAAATAATCTGAAGGAACTTCTTTGATGCAAGGGAGAAGCCACACTGGGTTCTTTTTCTCATTCATGTGCATGTAAAATATAAGAGATTCATTTATAATCGGTGACTCTGTTAAGTATAAATGGGATCCAGAGTCCTGTAGCTAAATTATGCATATGCAAGCCTTGAATGCAGAACTCAATTATTGTGGCTGCAACTTATTCCATTGAGAAAAAGAAGAACAAAAGTTTGTTTGTTAACTACCATACAACTGGATACAAAGACTCCAGTGACCTTTGAATCTTAGTGGCTGTGCATCTGAAGAATGTATTGTTTGAAGAATCGGAATAACTGCCAGGAGACAAGAGATCATCCTTTCCATCTCTTTGCATATTCCTGTTTTAATGTCCTTATTAAAAACTGTTAATGGCATAAACTTACTTGGACAAAATGAATGCCCCTTTAATAAACAACATTCTCACACTCCAAAGCACAGGGTGTTTTCAATAAAAAGGTTTCTTCAGATTTCTGAAGTCCTTTGAGGACCTGTGCTTAGATTGAGAAATGTTTTTCTTGACATATTTGGTCATGTGAAAAAATAAGACTGTAGAGCCCCCTTGCCCCAAAAGGGCAAACTAGACATTCCGTTTTAGCAACTATAACCTTGGTTTAAGGAGCCACTTGGTGCCTCTCATATATATATACCAAACTGCGAGAGGCAGTGGAAGACAGGAGTGCCTGGCGTGCTCTGGTCCATGGGGTCACGAAGAGTCGGACACGACTAAACGACTAAACAACAACACACACATATATATGAGAGTTTTTAACACTGGAAGCAAGTTAGGGACCAGGACTGTGTGATAGACTCCTGCCCCCTACTCACTTTGCTCATCCAAAACCTTACATTATGCTCTGTTGCCGAAGGAGATCTGATTGACTGGGAAAAGGCCTCTGTAATGGAGCCCAGGTTGTGGAAGTACTTTTGTTTTGAAAGAGTAAGGGGCATTTTAATAAGATTAATTTTTGCCCATCATTCCATATTTGACCTTCTGCAGGAATGTTGCTATTTTTTCTAAGATGAAGCCTGTTAGTATTGACACATGTTGAAAAACAGCAGGGAAAGAAGTAATGAGTTCTTTGTTCATTCTTGTATTTTCTCTTCGGTATCAAACAAAACACACAAAGCCCAGTGTGAATCACTGTTTATGCAAGTGTCTTAGCTTTTGCACTGTGCATTTCTGTAGTACTTATGGTCTGATTTGGAATGTACACTAGCTGATGACTGTTTCAGTAGCAGTTAGGATTGAATTTGATCACTGTTGCCTTTCATAAAACAATTGTGCATTGTTTTTCAAGAGTGTTCATGATTAGGTGAAATGTTCTAAGCAAGAGTTGCTGTGTCAAGTGATATCGGAGATGAACAGACCTCGGAAATGAATGATCTCCTTTGTGTTTTTACTGGAGCACAGATATATCAACCAAAGTAAGATGCAAAATGGTGGCACAAAGGATGGAGCCAGTTACCTATTCCATACACTAGAGTGACCAGTTCAGATCAGAGTTACTATGGATTCATGGATTCTATCTACAAACTCTCTCTCTCTCTCTCCGCTCCCTCTCCCATGACCAGCAAAAGTGTAGAAAGACCTGCTCAAAGGCAACCAATTAATACTCCTATTTTACTGGCACGGAACATGGAGGTTGAAAGATAAACTCAAGGCCAGCTGTTGAGTCTAAGGCAGATAATTTTTGTGTCTGTTAACGGTTTTCAATGGGTGGGAAGCTGTGTCAATATTCTTAATCATAAAACCTCACTTTAGAGCTAGGGAACACAAACTTGGAAATGTACAACTTTCCTAGGCAAGTAGTTATGCACAGAATTATGTATGAGCACATTCTGAGCTGTGTCACATCAGAAAGAAAAGCAGACTGACTGTTCGATGTGTTTTTCCACAGTTCCCTAAATAGAAGATAAGCAAAACAAAAACCAGTATAGTTACTGGGAGACGTACTGTTGAGTATGGAATATTTTCTGGGGAGGTGAGGACAATGTTTAATTTCTAAAGATAGGATGCCTACTTTATAAGTTATTCTCAATGCTATGTGGAAGAGGGATGGGGGCATGTTTGCACTTTTTAGTGTAAAGGGAAGGACACTGCATCTGCTCAGAGGCTGTTTTACTGTGTTTCAACAGGCTTTTAGATATATTGGCTGCTGAATATGGCCGCAGTTCATTGACCCTGCACATGGGAAATACCTTTTGAAACAAAGGCAGTTTCAAAATTTAGTTTGTGTGAAGAAATGTGTTCAAAGGAAAAGTGAAAAAGAAAATAAAAACAAAACACATTAAATTTGCACAAGCTTTTGACTGTGTCTAAAGGAGTTTTTAGCAGGCTTGTGTAGAG